TACATTAAAAGGTGATAATAAAAATGGTGAGTCGAATTAATATACTTCCAATACCCCAAAGTTATAATCCCTCGAATAAAATCCCAAAATAAATTATATTTATTTTTAAAATATTGGGATAAAACAAAAAATTTTTCAAAAATCTTATTGTATAGATAGAAACGATAGCTCATAAGAAAGTACATTAAAAGGTGATAATAAAAATGGTAAGCCGAATTAATATACTTCCAATACCCCAAAGTTATAATATCTCGAATAAAATCCCAAAATAAATTATATTTATTTTTAAAATACTGGGATAAAACAAAAAATTTTTCAAAAATCTTATTGTATAAAGAGAAACGATAGCTCATATGAAAGTACATTAAAAGGTGATAATAAAAATGGTGAGTCGAATTAATATACTTCCAATACCCCAAAGTTATAATATCTCGAATAAAATCCCAAAATAAATTATATTTATTTTTAAAATACTGGGATAAAACAAAAAATTTTTCAAAAATCTTATTGTATAAAGAGAAACGATAGCTCATATGAAAGTACATTAAAAGGTGATAATAAAAATGGTGAGTCGAATTAATATACTTCAAATACCCCAAAGTTATAATCCCTCGAATAAAATCCCAAAATAAATTATATTTATTTTTAAAATACTGGGATAAAACAAAAAATTTTTCAAAAATCTTATTGTATAAAGAGAAACGATAGCTCATATGAAAGTACATTAAAAGGTGATAATAAAAATGGTGAGTCGAATTAATATACTTCCAATACCCCAAAGTTATAATCCCTCGAATAAAATCCCAAAATAAATTATATTTATTTCTAAAATATTGGGATAAAACAAAAAATTTTTCAAAAATCTTATTGTATAGAGAGATATCACCATCGAGAAGATCCATTTCAAATATAGTCAGTCAAAAAATAATTACCCCACAAATTTTATCGTATTATATCTTATTGTATATTGATCGGGTATAATATGTCTTGGTAAATTAAATACTCTAATAAGTGAAGTTTCAGAAACCGTTTGATTTGTTTTGGTATCTTTTATCACCATCGAGAAAATCCATTTCAAATATAGTCAGTCAAAAAATAATTACCCCACAAAATTTTATCGTATTATATCTTATGGTTGAGTGCGAATCGTGGTATCAAATCACTCATGGATCTGCATATTGTCATTCGATAAAGCATTAAGTTTTGTATATAATACCTGTGATTTTTTTTATTTCGAGCCCTTATTGTAGAGATTTCGAGTCGAAAATTACCTTAAGATAAATTACCTTAAGATATATTAAGATATAATACAATTTATAATTTTTTAATATTTTTACAAATTGAATATTTTTAAATTAAATTTTCTGGATAGTGATACGTGGCCATCTAGTATAGTATATACTATTCGAATCAGCATTGAATAATGTATCTAAATACGAGCCCAGATTGTCTCAACTTGTTCAGATAATTTTTGATCCCTATTTAATGCAACAGAAACTGCATCTTTATTATTTTTATTCCATCAAGATTATTATTCATTTAATTATTATTACAAAAAAAATTTTTTTACTTTCTCAAGAATTTACTCAAAACTTGATATCATTATTATATTTTTAGTTATTATTTTAAAAATAATAAAGACTGCGGAATCTTCATTTATGTAATTTATTTATTATTTTTTAAAGTTTTCTTTGTTAATGCGCGACAGCAAACATAATAATTATTTGTTTTTGTTGCCTTTTATGAATAAAAACTTTATTTTTGAATATTTCTATTTAAAGTAATCTCAAACAAAACTTTTCCTTTCTTTTATTTAAATAGACAAAAACATCTTTATAAAAGTAGAAAATGAGAAAAACAAATTTATAAAACATTTTTAATTAAATAATTCTCTCCCTTCCGGTTGTCAATTAAATTTTTAATTAATTGATTTAATAAAAATTATTTTAAAAATTATTCTCACTTAGTTAACTGATAAAAATTAATTTTAAAATATGATTAAAATAATACCTGCAGTCTTAATTACAGTATTCCTCAATTTTGGCTTTCAGAAAATGAGTGTTGAAGCTAACTGGTAATTATTTGAATTAAGATTCTAGTGTGAATTTATGTGTGAATTATATGTGAATTAAAATTGGGCCTTGTTTTGATATCTGTTAAAGGATAACTGATGATCATTGTTGGGTATTGGGCCTTTTTTCCCTGGCTCCATGGATTTTAAAATCCTAGCTCCGGCTCCAGAGCTAGCTCCTGGAGCCGTACCCAGCACTGCTGATGACTCCATCAATGTTTCGAAGAATCGTGTTACTATATTCGGTCGAAGAATAATGATGTCTCAAATAATTACCCCTTCTCGATTAATTACCCTTTTTGTCTCCCTGGGTAATTTTTGTTTCAGTTATGTCACGGATTACCCAAAACTCGGATTTATTTCTATCCGAAACCCAACCCGACTTTTTTCTCAACTCGTGACATCCCTGGTTTGAGATATCCCTGGACCCGTGACATCCCTGGTATTACATCCTTTTCTCATTTTACTTGAAAAAATATTTTCCCTAGAATTTTTTGATTAAACTATATTTTCCGATTTTTTAGTTGTTGCTGCTGTCCTTGTTGTTGTAGATGCTGGTAACTTATCAATCTCTCTAAAAATCTTTAATTTTTTATTCTAGTTGTTGCCCTCAACCACCCATCATTATTCAACCACCCCCCGCACTTCATAAAATCTGTCAAGTACCTTGCTGTTGTACGTTATATTACATAAAAATTTTTAAAAGTTAATTATCTCGAGAAAATTTAAAATTTTTAGGCTGCAAACCTTGCTGTTGTTGCTGCTGTAAGTTTAAATATTTTTTAAATTAGAAGCTTTCCATATATATATATGTAAAAGCGGATAATATTTTAGTTTATTCCCTCCTTTAAAAATTAGTTTTTTTGGGTTCAATAACCTATTTTTTGGCTAGAAACTGATCCTGAAAAGAGAAAACCTTGAGAAGCTCATTTAGGAAAAGGGGGAGCTTAAACCTAAGTATTGCCGGTACTTAATTATTTCCCCCCCCCCAGTCAATTTTTTCGGTAAATATGTAAAAATGGTCAGTCTGTTTTAGGTTATAGAACTCATAGAGCTGTGTCGAACGACACTAACATCAAAAAAATCAACTTGATTTTACCGTTATATAGACCCCTGAAAATTGAAAAATTATAGAGGCCAAATACCATAGCTCATTCGAGAGAGCTCGTTGAGCTGAGTCGAATGACACTAAAATCTAAATTTAAAAATTTTTTTTGAAATTTTCCAGGCGGTGGTGGAGGAGGACGTAGACGTCGCTCTTTAATTAGCGCCATTAACAGACGCCAAAATTCTAAAACTTCTGCGATCCCTCGTGTAAAATCCGAAGAAAAGAATAGTCGTGGATGCAGTATGTGCCCTCCAGTTCCAAAACAATTGACAAATTCTACAACTTCTGGAGGGAATTGTACTACTCATTCAGTACCTAAAGAACATAAAAATATTCTTAAACAGAAGAAGCAGATAAAGAAAGATAATTAATGATAAATATTTAGGCATCCTATTGTCAATTATTATAGTAATAATAATAAATTTTATTAGAAATAATATTTAACTCGGACCCCTTTTAGGTTTAAAAACTGCATTAAAATTAGGTGTATTCAATATTTTATGTATGTATATCGCATATGAAGCTTATCTACCAATTATCTGATAAATTTTAATGATGCAGTTTATCTCGAGGCATGCTCATTCAGTATTGTCTGTACCAGAGGAACTTTCGGAAATCAGCTCAAATTTTTGGAAATCGGAAATCGAAAATGCTAAAGACAAAATGCTACAGAAACTTTCAGAAACACAAAATTACGGAAATTGAAAGGGAATCGATCCTATCGAATCTTATCGACCTCTGGTCTGACCAAAATAATTTATTAATAATCTAAAATTCCGAAACATTTAGGTTTCGAACTGTCCTCTCTTTAAGTATTAAATATTCAAAAAAAATTTAACACTATAATTAAGGATAAGTAAATGGTGGATAAAGAGAAGATGCCTTCACACCTCTTGATTGATGTGTCTGTCCAGCTTCTGCGTCACGACTTCTAAGTGGTTTAGATACTATTATCTTATTATCTAACTATTATTTATGTATTATAGCTATAGCTGGATAAAAGCTTAGAAGCTGAATAAGAAATAGGCTTAAGAAACTTAGCTTACAAACCTTTTTTTATTCTTGAATTTAATAAAGTAAGGAAATTTCAACAAAATATGTACATTCGATCATAATTTATTTATCCTACTATTTTAAAATTATATAAATTTGAAAAAATATTTTTATCACAAAATCTTTCAATATAATTAAACTAATAATTTTTATTTCTGAGGAGATTGTCTTACAACAAATTCTAAATTGTTTCTAAACACTAAAGATTCATTTTGTTGGTTTTTGTTAGCCTCTCTCTTTGCTTCAGATCTATTATTTTTGCCTGAATTAATTTTCATACTAAAATTCATTCAAAAATTAATTTAGAACCTTTTTCATATCCCTCATCAGATTTACTATTTAATTCCTCTCCCAAAGCCTTTTTCTTCAGTAAAACCAAAAAGCGTTTTTTCCTTCCAGCATCGAAAAGGCTCGGTCCTCCCCCTATATTAGCCAATAAATCTTCACTTCCCAATCCTCTTCCTACTCTTCCTATTCCTCTTTCTACCGTATCACCCCCACAGGGCATTGTTGACCCACTGTTTGATAACATATTATTATTTTGGACTGGGGAATGCATTGCTGCTCCTAGTCCTTCTAGGCTAGGATTGTTGTTGGCGTTTGAACTGTCCATCATTACACCTATTAGATTAGAATTTTGAAATGCTCGTTTAGCTACAAGAAGTCTCGTGATATATCTCACCTTACTGTAGATAACACAACTATTCCCTTAGAGTGGGTTATAAAGGATTACCATTGTGTTAATGAATATTTGGGTTTATTCGCTATCTACCTATATGATTCTGTTTGATAATGTACTGGAGCGTATTTGTGCAGGCCTTTCCAGCCTTTCCATTTGGGATTTTGATATGACCTAGGTCCAGTAAAAGACATTTCCGGAGAAAGACTTATCCGGTTGGTTAAGCTCCGAGGACAATATCTAATACTATACTCATTATTCCCCCCTCCATTATTCTCACCTCCTCCAAATGCTGGCAGGTTATAAAAATTATTATTATTATTGCCATCTCCCATACAAGCCCCATTAGTTGCTTGAGGAAAAGCTCCATTATTACACCCTGTTGACTGTCCTCCATTCAAACTGCCCATTTGTTGCTGACAGTTAATAGCATCAGCAGCATTTACATTGCATTGTTGCTGAGTACATCCATTACTTCCAAATTGTTGTGGATTCATTAATGGAATCTGCCCGTTATTATTACAAGCCCCGGAGCACTGACAATCACTCATTTCTCCGTTATTTCCAAGTGAATCCATTCCCCCACCGCTTAACATTGTCCCTCCTCCACCGCCCATCATTTGCTGTTGCTGATTAAAAATATTCTGGCTGAGAGGGAATTGGGGTTGTTGGGCAATTAGTTGTTGACATGCTGGTCCCTTTAAGAGAATACCCCTTATATTTTAAAAATTTTTTTTTGAATTTTTACCCTTTGTATAGGAGGGATTTTTGCACAGAGCGACTGTAAGGGTGTTATAGAAGATTGGGCTCCGCATCCCATTGGAATGAAAGCATCTTGGTTAAATTGTGGAAGGAGAATATCCGAAAACTTTTTGGCCATTAAATCAACAACGCTGCGTTTCTTTCGGCCATAGCCGCCACCTCCTCCACCACATCCACAACAACAAGGGCCTTAATTTGAATTAAATTATGGCAAGAGATAAGCTATGTTAAATAATTTTTATCTAATTTAAATGTAGCCATCTTGCAAAGTCATTACATTGAGTGGTTTATATCTAAGGAAGTGGTCTTAGAAAGAGAGAGAGAGATTTTTGTAGGGACTTTGGAAGAGTCCTCTATATAGAGAGAGTTCATTATAGAGGCAATTTCCTATAGTGTACTCTATATAGGTGATTCCGCTATATAGAGGTTCACTATAGAGGGAAAATTCACTGTACTGAGGTCATTATTTTAATCAAAATTCAAATAAACATACAACAACAGCAGCAACATGGTCTGCCTAAAATATTAAAATATTACCTTAAATGTCCTATAGAAGTCTATGCCACATAAAAGCCTATAACTTATTAGAGGCCCACTAAATAAGGCTCTTCGAAAATTAAAGGCCCTAGACCTCTATTAAGACGTTTAGGGTAAATTTACTAAAAAGATTAAATAACTAACAGCAGCAACAACCACAGCAACATGGACACAACTATAATTTAAGCATTGTTAAATTCATATATACTTTAATTTCACCTTTACTGGAGGAGGGGGTAATTTAATTATAATAGGTTTGCAGCAGCAACTGAAAGCAGTTTTTTAAAATTAAAAAAAAAATTTCAAATTTTTTAAATAACCTAGGACAGCAGCAACATCCACAGCAGTTTGCATCTGCAAACCTCATTTGATTTTGAAATGGGATCAAGAACGGAATTAGGGTGATAATAAAGAGAATTATAGGGGAAGTCATTTTAGGCCTTAAAATCTAAGTCTAAAAATTTTTAAAAATTAAAAAAAAATTTTAATAAAAAAATCAAATTTTACTTAATATAAAATATTTTATTTTTATTTTAAATAACAAAATATTTTTCAAATAAAAATTTATTGTTGTTTAAAAGCTAGCATATAAATGGCTTCTTTATTTGTATTATTCTTTGAATAGAAATTTCAAAAATAAAAATTTTTTTTGTTCAAGGTAATCCTCTCCTTATTCAAAAAATTATTTATTTGTCCATTAATTTATTCAAGTTTTTTTTTCTTTTATTTTTGAATTTTAACTTTTATTTGCTTATAATTTTACTTAATAAGTAGCCTATTCAAGAGCCTATTTTTGGTCATTTTTGGTCATTAAAAAAATAATAAAAAACAAAAATTAATTAAAAAAAGCTTCTTAGCTTCCCGAATCTTCAATTTAATATTTACTTTAATTTATTGAATTAAAAATAAATTAATACCCTTAATCTTTGCTAGGAAAATGCGCAAAGTTGCTTACACCTTTATGTTTCTTTTTACTTTTTCCTTTCATTCAAGACTTGCTTAAATTGTTTTTTGGGTGTCTTTTTCTTTTAAATCCGGTCCTTAAAATCGGGGAATATGTTTACTTTTTATTTAAAAATTTTTCTGCTATTAATAGTAAATAATTCTTTTATGTTTATTTTGGACTTTTAATAATTACAAAAGAATTTTATTAATTTTATGAGGAAATTAAAATATTAGGAAGTTAATATGTATATTTATTTATTCGAGAAAATAATATTGGAAAGTGAGAAAAAAATATTTTGATTTAATAGGAGTATTTAAAATTGTTTTTCCTTTGAGGATCAAAGGATGTGGATCAGAGAATGATTAGAGAATTGGATCAGAGAGAATTTGATGATCAGAGAATTCTGAATCTGAGAGGAAAGTCAGGAGAGAAGCTAGTCTTGAAAGCAGTTCATGCCTGGAAAGGTCTGAGCCTAGGGAAGCAATAGTTAATGCTACTCGTATCCAACACAAAAAGATAAAATGAAGCTTTACATTATGCTTAAGCACGAATAATTGAGTTGGAGTTTTGAGTTTTAATATATCTTTGTACTGGGGTTGGAGGAGATTCTGGGGCTGTACTTTAAGAAAACAGCAGGCTAAAATGAACCCATTGCTCGTAAAAATAATCTCTCGTCTTTAACACCCTCCAAAAATAAAATTAAAATCTCGGCCCTTCCCTATCCCTTCCCTTTCTCAAGAGTCTCTATTTAGATCTCTATTGAAGGATAATAACAAAATTAAAAATTATCGAGATTAAAAAATTTCTCAAAATAGTAGCTATACATATAATTTTTCAATAAAAATACTCTTGAATATGAACAAAAACAATAATTATTAACAAAACGGAAAAGTGAAAACTACCAATTTCTTTGTTTATTGTCCAAAATTTATTGTCCATTATAAAGTACTAAAATGGAGGTATTTTATTCGGCAATATTCACAAGAGCTATTGTAACCGAAAATTAGTTAGGAATAAATATAAATAATTATTTTATTAAAAAATAAAATTTATTTTGACAGGAATATCAATTAATTTCTGTCGAAATTTCTTAAATTATAGCTAGTGATCGGGCCGTACCCCCTCCCCCCCCCTCCCCCGATTAATGATAGCATTTTCCTGTATTTATAGGTATTCCGATCAGGGCTGTCCTTATATGAAATTAACTTTCCCGCAGGCGCTATTTCCGCAGGTGCAATCAAAAAACCAGGCAATTTGCGCAACCCGTTATTGCGGACTGCCCTGATTCCGACGGCAATACATATGAAATACGTTACAGTATACTTTTAAGTTTCCTCAGTATTTATCGATATCATTATTTTCCTGTATTACTTCCGGAATAAGGTACGACATCAGATTCCGATCACTAGTTATACCACAATTAAGCAATAATGTTAGCAATTTTAATTTCTGCTTCGATTTTATTTTCATCTGTTGAATCGTCCCATGAAAAAGATCTTCAAAAAATTGCTCCACAAAACTCCAATTCAACCTTGGCAAATCAAATACCAAACAATTTTAAGGAAAAAGAATGTCGATGCTCAGATCCAGCCAAGAATAATAATTTAACAAAGCTTCCCTTGAGGGTTTTGAAGCGTTCCTGTGGTGGTTGTTGCTGTTGCTGTGGGTTTTCATTTCTACTAAAAATAATCACTAGATAAAGAGGGTAAATGGTGGAGTGAAGGACGGAAGAAAAGTCCTCCTTTCATTAAAAGCACCCTTCATTTAAGGGAGCAATGGAGCTTCCGAACTAACGTACTTATAAAAGATGTATTCCGTCCTTTAAGTCTGGAAGAACAAGGTCGAAAGAACAAATCGAGAGGTTTAACACACGAGAGCCTCCGATTTTATTTTTCATTTCATGGCAACATTTGAAATTTTGAATTTATAACGAGATGATTTTTTAATCATTATATCTTGACTAATTTATTTCTAGGAAATTACGGAAAACATATGACCTTATGCTGATTTTTAGGAAAATATTTGGTGATCTTTTATGAGAAATATTTGAAGGGGCCAATTATGAATACCATCACTTGAACACTAACATTATTTTCCAAAATTTAAAAAATTTAGGTAGGCCCTGTTGTTGCTGTTGCAATAATTGTGGTTGCTGTAATTGTTGCAATCCTTGTTGTTGTAATTGTTGTGGAGGTTAAATTTAAATTAGTTAAATTTTTAAAAATTAATTCAATGTAGAATGTCAGTGTATTAAATGGGCCCCTTGTTGTTAGTTTAATTTTCTTAAAAAAATTTTTTTAATTTTAAAGGTTGTCGACCTTGTTGTTGTGGATGTAAATAAAAATTTAAATTAATTTTTAAATTAATTTAAAGGCACTGGATATGGTAGGAAAATGAAGAAATTTCGTCGTTCTACCCCTCTAATAAATCAGAAAACCCCAAAATGTTCTGTTAAAAATTCTACAAACTCTACTGATATTTCTGATAAAATGAATAAGCGTTCTTGTTGTTGTTGTAATTGTTGCAATTGTTGTTGCTGTAAATTTTTTGTTTAAAATTATTTCTTATGAACAGGTTCAAGGCCTGATATCGGCACACTTAAAATTATCATTGGCCAATCATTATCAGAAAAGATACGAGATATCAGAAAATTTCCTCATGGTCTTCCAACCCACCTACACAGACTTCGTTAACTCCTTTCCTAGCTCTCAGTTTTTTAATTTCTCACTTTCTACTGTATTTCCTTGTATACCGTATTTTCTCGATTAATTCCTTCTCTCAATTAATTCACCATGCTAGTGTTGGGTTGAAACAATAATTCCCCACCCCCAAATAGCCTACTGCACGTTCAAATCCAAAAACTCGAATAATTCCCCTCCCTCGATTAAATCCCCCTACCAAAGGAGGGTCGAAAAATAATTCCCCATGGGGATTAATCGAGAAAATACGGTAACTACCATAGGTAATTATTGTTTCAGCCTCCTACTGGAGGGAGTTATTAACCGAGTGGGGGCTAAATTAGACGAGTGTGGCGTTAGTAGGACATTTAATGGAGGGTAATTATTTTTTCAACCTATCGCTGAATGGGGAAGTCAATTTAGGAGGGGTAATTATTTGAGGGAGGGTAATTAATAAGCCTCCCAAAAATGCCCTTAAGAACTTCCTTCCTTCAGCTATCCTCCCCAATCTCCTTAACATTTTTAGGTCGGCCCTGTTGTTGTTGTTGCCGACCTTGTTGCTGTTCCTGTTGCTCGCCTTGTTGCTGTGGAGGCAAATTTTTTTATTCAAAATTTTTCAAATTTTAATATTTAGAATCTCACTACAAATGGTCACCTTGTTGTAAGATTTTTTAATTTTAAAATTTTAAATTTCCCTTTTTAACAAATTTTGAGGTTGCCAACCATGTTGTTGCGGATGTAAATTTTAAATTTAAAAATATTTTTTAATTAAATATTTAAAGGTGTTGGCTATGGGAGAAGAAAAATGAAATGTCGTAGAGGTATTAAGGATGACTGTAAGAACAGAATTTCGAGCTGATTTTTAAATATTTATGTGATTGTTCTTTATCTTTTTCTTATTTTCAAATTATCATATTTTTGAAATAAATATGTAGAATTAAAGCTTGATTGGCATACGCCTGAACTGAGCAGTTCAGTCTCGATCCTATAACCTATGAAGGGATGGTGAAGTATGGTCGACAAATGTAATAAAGCCTAAAAATTACCACCGTACCGGAACTGAAGAACCTGAACTTCAGAAGCTCTATTAACTAGGCGTCGTGCAAGAAAAAAAAAAAAAATATAAAAAAAAAGGGACAGGACTAATGACAATGCACTATAAAAACAAGGACTAATGACAATAAACAGGACTAATGACAACTATAAACAGGACTAATGACAATGCACTATGACTCCAAATTTTCGGTTGCCCCCTGCCTAAGCAGGAAGACTTTGGGGCCCCCTGCCTAAGCAGGGGGACTTTATTGCCTTATGCCTAAGCAGAAGGACTTAGTTGGGACGCCCGAAAGTAGTTTTAATTATACTGGATATGGGTAACAACTTGTATGTTCTCTACTGAAGCCGATAGCCGAAATCCGGACTGCTCCTTGTAGCATGATTCTGCTCTATCAGGCTAGCATCATTTCACTTTCTTAAATTTCATACAGACAAGCTTGACTTAAAAATTCCAAAGACAAGACTGCGGTGGGGCAGCACAGAATGGTGTCAGATTTTTTAAAAGGGATATCCACAGTTTTAGAAGTTTTGTTCATTTATCTTTTTTGTCTGTTTGATTTTTTCGTCACATGATTCCTCTTCCCATGTACTTTAGTCTTTATCGTGAGTGACAAGCTCTGTAAACAGCTCTACTATTTAATCCAATGATTGTTTAGATTGTTGTCATAGAGTAAAGTTTGTAACAAATAGGAAAAAATGGGGGGGGGGGGGGGGGGGGTACGAAATTCAATTTTATCCCTTTATGAACCACCAACCATAATAATTGTCCAATTATTCTCTTAATTTATTTTATAAATATTTTATAATTCCTATTTTATTTATTTATAAGCTAAATTTGTCTTTATAGCTCCTCATAATAGTTCTTGTCTTTCCTTTATTTCCTTAAAAAAATTAAAGTCTGTCCTTTTAAATAAAAATGATCATCAACTAATGCAAATAAATGGACAAATTACAAAAATAAATATTTATTTACTTCCGGTTTTTTATTAAAGCCTTTCCTTTTTTAATAGAAAAACAAAAAATAATAATTTTAAAATACAATAAAATTTCTTTATTTAAATAAGCATTTTTGGAGACTTTATTCTTTAATAATAATATGTTTGTAGACAATAAAATTATATTCTTTGTATTTTTCTCGCTTTATAAAATGATCAACTTAATAAACATTTTAAATATTTATTGTTTAAATATTTTGTTTAATTTAATAATATATATTAAGTAAAATATTTTACTAAAGTTTTATTCAGGGAACCTATTCAGGGTAGTTATTTAGGACCTTGATATAGTACCCTTGGGAGAACCTATCCTTAGAATGAGGAATTATCTTAACTACTCTAATAGAACCACCTTTGATTCTATTTATCAACCCTCTCGTAAGATGTGCTTATCTTAGAGAGTAAGCTTCTATTAGAGAATTTTGTTCTATTAATTAGGAGAGTATTCTATTAGAGGATATACGGTATTCTAGAGTGATTAATCGAGTTAATACGAATCTGTGACTGGAGGTCGAACAAGAATTCATCTTCCGTCATAATTCCATGATTCAGTTAAGAAAATAATTTTCGGTTATGAAAATCTGCTTATAATAAGTATATCAAATGATTGGTTTTAAGGCCCTGGCTCTTTTAAAATTTCTGATATTTTATCAAAACAATAAATATTAATTCTTCGTTTTTATTTTAAATTAAAAATGGCATTAATATTCCCTTCATTGATATTCCTTGCTTTTATAATTTTAAATAATTTAAATGATGCAGAGGCTAATGGATGTGGATGGTAAATTTTAAAAAAATTTTTATTAAAAAAATTTAAATTTAATTAGTTGCTGCCATTGTTGTAAGTGCTGTTCTTGCTGGTAAAATTATTTATTTGTAGAATTTTTAAAATTAATCCTTTCTTAACTTAAGCACACCTTGCTGTAACCCTCCATTACTGTAAGACTAATTTTGAAATATTAAATTAATTTTTTAATATTCAGAATCAAGCTGCCACGGTATTTTAACAAAAATATTTACTATTCTTATTTACCGTATTCCCTTGAATAACTACCCTGAATTGCTTCGACCTCCCACTTGGGGAATAATTAATCGAGGAAGGGGCAAATATTCAAGTTTTGGACGTGCATTAATTTTTGGGGGTACACCTGTTATACCGCGAGGCCAACCTACCGCCGAGCTATAACTTCGTTCAAAATTATCAAATCCGTGACGCCTTGGTATGGTTCGATGCGCCTCGACGGGCTGAATCGAAACATACCAGGGCGTCCCGGATTCGACAATTATGAACGAAGTTATAGCTCGGCGATAAGTTGGCCTTACGGTAGATTGGCCTGCTCCCAATTTTTGGGGAGGGTAATTAATGCTTCGACCTCCCACTGTAGGGAATAATTAATCGAGGTTTTAGAATCCGAACGTGTATTAGGTAGTGTTTCAACGGAACCAAAATTTTGACCGGAAACCGGAACCGGATCCAATTTTAGTTCCGGTTCTTGAAACCAAAAATAACACTAGAACTTTCCGGAACCGGAACTTGCGGTGAAACTCTAGCATTAAGTTTTGGGGAGGGTAATTGAGGCTTCGACATCACGTAGGACGGAGTAATTGAGGGAGGTCAGTTATTCGAGCATTATACGGTAATCACTATTTATTCTAATTTTAATTAAATTAAGAACGTGTCCTTGTTGTTGCAAATGCTGGTAAGGCTATTTAAATATTTTTTAAACAATTATTAAAAAAAATATTTTTTAAAGCTGCCCTTGCTGTTGCTGTATGTTTAAATAAATTTTTAATTTTACTTTCTTTCAATTTAAAAATAAATTCAAAAGGTGGTGGTGGGGGAGGAAAGCGTAAACGTAGAAGCATTCAAATGTCTAGTGGAGTGCCTTTCCCGAGATTGAATTTTCCAATTTCGTCAGCTAATGCTGTGGAAGGTTTAAAAATAACTTGTCTATTCTTCTTAAAAAATTTATTAGATAAATCGTGCAACTGTTCAGTTAATGAGAAATTAAATTGTGACGATCATGAGGTTAATCAACCCTCTAAAATATTGAATTTAAGAAGTCGAAGAAGCCAAGATCGGAATTAATAAAAACAAAAAATTTTTTAATTAGATTATTAAAATTACAATAACATAGTGATTGTATTGTTTTCACACTTATTCTTCACACTAATAAATTTTTTGTTCGATTCTTTGGAAATGTATTTTGACAATAGTTTTTGCTGTATCGGTGTTTTGTTTGGTCAGTGGTTTGGTCAGATTTGGTAATCGGCATGGATTTTGGTATCCATAACCGGATATTTGCTCCGGATACAGACGGATATCCCCAGGCATTTTGAAATTATCTGTATCTGTATCCATTGCCAAGCCTTGTTTTAGTCGTAAATATTTTGTCTTATTGGTGTTTTTTCTGACATTGTCTTGGTCGGATGGCGTCTTAATCGAAAGTCTTTTTGTTCTGTCATCGTTCTTTTAGTTATTCAGAGTTTTTGCCGGACGGTGTTAGAGAGCATTGTCCAGTACATCTAGTGTCCCCGGATCCGAAAAAAGGCCGGATGTCCGAAATTTTCGGTTCGGATATTGGATCCGGATACCCGAAGATTTCCAACTTTCCACCAACCCTAGTGGTCATTGTTTTGGCCTGTCTTTCAAACTCTTGACAAAATAAATTTAATTTTAATCTACTATCATTCCCATAAAAAGAAAAAATTTCAAAAAGAATAAGACAAAGAATTAAGGATAATCAAAGCTAAAAAGTAACAAAGCAATGAATAGAATAATAAAAATAAAGAACTGAGCGCAAGGCTATATTTAGAAGCTTATGTAAATATTTGCCTATTTTGTTTACACCTTTACAACACTCCAACTAAAAAGAATTTAATATTCGTCTTCAAATAAATTGTTGCTAATTATGTAATTTACTTAATAGCAAATATTTTATTAAAAATCAATCAAAGTTTAACAAAAATTTTTAATTCTCTAATGCCGTGTTTACATAAAAAAACGCTTAGCGTTTTCGGCAGAAAATAGTATAGAAAAGTAAGAGAGAAAAAACGCCGGCGTTTTTTCTCTCATATTTTTCTATACTATTTTCTGCCGAAAACGCTAAGCGTTTTTTTATGTAAACACGGCATAATGGAATATCCCTACAAAAATGATCGAAAAATTCCAAAATCCTTCTCTCTGTTAATTCTATTTACTTTAATAAATATTAATTTGGCCATTTTATTTTCTCCAATTAATGCCTGTGATCTTTTCCTTTTAAATAGAGGAAATACTTTGGGATGTGGGGGATTATGTCCTCCTAGCTGTGGATTGTCGTTGCTTAATTTGGCGTCACCCTTTCAAGGTAAAAAAGGTCTTTGTTTGACTGTAGGATGATTGAATAGTCGAACACCTCACCCCTCTCCTCTAACAGCATACCTCTTTGGAGGATGATGGAAGGGCGAACACCCCACCTAGTCTCCATTTGAATGCCCCTCCTCCCCTCTAATATAATGCCCTTTTAGAGAAGGATTGAAAAATAGAATACCCCCGTCTAAAATGTCAAATTTTAAAGGAATATAGGAAAGGTTACTTGCCCAGTCATCCCTCCACTTTCTTTGACGGATATCCCCAGGCATTTTGAAATTATCTGTATCTGTATCCATTGCCAAGCCTTGTTTTAGTCGTAAATATTTTGTCTTATTGGTGTTTTTTCTGACATTGTCTTGGTCGGATGGCGTCTTAATCGAAAGTCTTTTTGTTCTGTCATCGTTCTTTTAGTTATTCAGAGTTTTTGCCGGACGGTGTTAGAGAGCATTGTCCAGTACATCTAGTGTCCAGTACATCTAGTCCCCGGATCCGAAAAAAGGCCGGATGTCCGAAATTTTCGGTTCGGATATTGGATCCGGATACCCGAAGATTTCCAACTTTCCACCAACCCTAGTGGTCATTGTTTTGGCCTGTCTTTCAAACTCTTGACAAAATAAATTTAATTTTAATCTACTATTATTTCCATAAAAAGAAAAAAATTCTAAGAAGAACAAAACAAAGAATTAAGGATAATCAAAGCTAAAAAAGTAACAAAGCAATGAAAAGAATAAAAGAACTGAGCGCAAGGCTATATTTAGAAGCTTATGTAAATATTTACCTATTTTGTTTACACATTTACAGCTCTTCAACTGAAAGGAAATTAATATTCGTCTTCAAATAAATTGTTGCTAATTATGTAATTTACTTAATAGCAAATATTTTATTAAAAATCAATCAAATTTTTATTAAAATTTTTATTCTGTAATGGAATATCCTTACAAAAATGATCGAAAAATTCCAAGATCCTTCTCTCTGTTAATTCTATTTAGTTTAATAAATATTAATTTGGCCATTTTATTTTCTCCAATTAATGCCTGTGATCTTTTCCTTTTAAATAGAGGGAATACATTGGGATGTGGGGGATTATGTCCTCCTAGTTGTGGATTGTCTTTGCTTAATTTGGCATCGCCTTTTCAAGGTAAAAAATGATTTTTGTTGGATATTACCTCTAATGGAATGCTTCTCTATAGGATGATTGAAAGATCAAATACCCCACCCCCTCTTCATTAGAATGCCCCCTCCCAGCTAATAGAATGCCCCTCTAGAGGATGAACACCTCTCTTGAATACTCATCCCCCCTCCCCTCTAGTAAAGTACACCTTTATAGGATGATTAAGGGATCGAACACCCTACCCTCTCTCCATTTGAATGTCACACTCCCTTCTAATAGACTACCCCTTTAGAGGATGAATTAAAAATAAAATACCCTCCCCCCCCCCCCTCCCATTCTACTTGAGTGCCCCCTCTAATAGAATGCCTCTCTAGAGGTTGATTAAAAAATAGAATGCCAGGGCATTCTATTAGGAAAACACAGTATTTTAAAAATCATTTTATTACAAACAGGAGCTCTTCCTCTTCCACTTCCTCCACAACCACCACCAACTATCCTACAGCCTCAAATCCCTGCTGCATATACAGCTCCAAGGCTTCTTCCGCCACCCTTTTTTAGAGCTCCTTCACTGCTTCCTCCACCACCTATTTTGCCGAATGTTTTATCACCGCCTATAGTCCAGACTGCTCCGATTGTATGTCTCAGAATTTGATTTTCATTTAAAATTAAATTTATTCAAAGGTTCCCCCTCCAAAAATATTGCAGCCTGACATCTCAAACCCTCCAACACAAGGTATAAAATATTCCTAATCGACTCCCAATAATTTCTCATTTAGTCCAATTAATCCCTTTGGCAATGTGTGCAATGCCTTGCCGCAAGAAAGTGATGAGCCCAGCAATGCCTCGAAATACTTGTTGTAATGGAGATTATTGTGACATTGATTGTTGTTCGGATGATTGCATGTTCATGCGAAAATATTGAAAATTTAAATTGTTGTTTTTTAAAGTTTTATGAATTTTTATAAAATCTTGCGAGTAGACATCCCACTTAATACTTCTTAATCTTATTAAACTATTAGGACCTGAATGAGGTATATACAAGGCTAGTTAACTATTCTGAATAGAGTTGAGCGGGCATGTTTATATATGCAAACTGAAATATAGAATTATTGCAAGAATTTTTTAGAAAACTTACCGCTAAATTAAGTGTGTCAATTTTCCAAAAATTGTTAAGAAAAAAATTTTAAAGTCCATAAATTAAAAAACGAGTCAAATAAGCAAAAATTTATCAAAAAAATAACTAAAAAGTCAATGTCTCGTTTCACTCATTAGATTTGTGGCCCTAAAGAGGGCCGTTTGGGTTGTGGCCCCCTGCACGAAGGCAGGGGGACTTGAGTTGCCCCCTGCACGAAGGCAGGGGGACTTGGTTGCCCCCTGCACGAAGGCAGGGGGACTTGAGTTGCCCCCTGCACGAAGGCAGGGGGACTTGGGTTGCCCCCTGCACGAAGGCAGGGGGACTTGAGTTGCCCCCTGCACGAAGGCAGGGGGACTTGAGTTGCCCCCTGCACGAAGGCAGGGGGACTTGAGTTGCCCCCTGCACAAGGCAGGGGGACTTGAGTTGCCCCCTGCACAAGGCAGGGGGACTTGAGTTGCCCCCTGCACGAAGGCAGGGGGACTTGAGTTGCCCCCTGCACGAAGGCAGGGGGACTTGAGTTGCCCCCTGCACGAAGGCAGGGGGACTTGAGTTGCCCCCTGCACGAAGGCAGGGGGACTTGAGTTGCCCCCTGCACGAAGGCAGGGGGACTTGAGTTGCCCCCTGCACAAGGCAGGGGGACTTGAGTCCCCGGATCCGAAAAAAGGCCGGATGTCCGAAATTTTCGGTTCGGATATTGGATCCGGATACCCGAAGATTTCCAACTTTCCACCAACCCTAGTGGTCATTGTTTTGGCCTGTCTTTCAAACTCTTGACAAAATAAATTTAATTTTAATCTACTATTATTTCCATAAAAAGAAAAAAATTCTAAGAAGAACAAAACAAAGAATTAAGGATAATCAAAGCTAAAAAAGTAACAAAGCAATGAAAAGAATAAAAGAACTGAGCGCAAGGCTATATTTAGAAGCTTATGTAAATATTTACCTATTTTGTTTACACATTTACAGCTCTTCAACTGAAAGGAAATTAATATTCGTCTTCAAATAAATTGTTGCTAATTATGTAATTTACTTAATAGCAAATATTTTATTAAAAATCAATCAAATTTTTATTAAAATTTTTATTCTGTAATGGAATATCCTTACAAAAATGATCGAAAAATTCCAAGATCCTTCTCTCTGTTAATTCTATTTAGTTTAATAAATATTAATTTGGCCATTTTATTTTCTCCAATTAATGCCTGTGATCTTTTCCTTTTAAATAGAGGGAATACATTGGGATGTGGGGGATTATGTCCTCCTAGTTGTGGATTGTCTTTGCTTAATTTGGCATCGCCTTTTCAAGGTAAAAAATGATTTTTGTTGGATATTACCTCTAATGGAATGCTTCTCTATAGGATGATTGAAAGATCAAATACCCCACCCCCTCTTCATTAGAATGCCCCCTCCCAGCTAATAGAATGCCCCTCTAGAGGATGAACACCTCTCTTGAATACTCATCCCCCCTCCCCTCTAGTAAAGTACACCTTTATAGGATGATTAAGGGATCGAACACCCTACCCTCTCTCCATTTGAATGTCACACTCCCTTCTAATAGACTACCCCTTTAGAGGATGAATTAAAAATAAAATACCCTCCCCCCCCCCTCCCATTCTACTTGAGTGCCCCCTCTAATAGAATGCCTCTCTAGAGGTTGATTAAAAAATAGAATGC